GGGGTTTCACCGTGTTGACCAGGATGGTCTCGATCTCTTGACCTCATGATCCACCCGCCTCGGCCTCCCAAAGTGCTGGGATTACAGGCTTGAGCCACCGTGCCCGGCTTGACTATTCTTTTTTTAAGACGAAGTCTTTATCTGTCACCAAGCTGGAGTGCTGGAGTGCAGTGGCACAATCTCGGCTCACTGCAGCCTCCGACTCCTGGGTTCAAGCAATTCTCCTGCCTCAGCCTTCCAAGTAGCTGGGACATAGGCATGCGCCACCACACCTAGCTAATTTTTTGTATTTTTAGTAGAGATGGGGTTTCACCATGTTGGTCAGGATGGTCTCTATCTCTGGACCTCTTGATCTACCCACCTCAGCCTCCCAAAGTGCTGGCATTATAGGCGTGAGCCTATAAGTGGGCCCGGCCACTGACTGTTCTTCTAACCACTTAGGCAGCTGGTTCCTGGCTACTGCTGAGGCCAATGGGGTTCCCTTTCCCATGCGCCTCCCTGTTCCTCACACACGTGTGTTCCTGGTCTACAGCTAGAAAATGCTGCGAAGAAGAGAGAGCGAACAACAAGTGACCCAAGGACCCCAGAACAGAAACAGGAGAAGAAACGACTCAAAATTTCCAAGAAGCCAAAGGACCCAGGGCCACCAGAAAAAGATTTTACGCCTTACGACTATAGCCAGTCAGACTTCAAGGCTTTTGCTGGTGAGGAAGTTCTGGGGCCCAGACAGGGACATCTGTATGCGTCAGGTGGGAGGAAGCCATAGAGTAAAGAGACCGCAACATAGGGGCCGAGTCAGTCCTGCACGAGGCGTAGCATTAGCCAGGAATTATTGGAGTGGTCCAGAGGGGCCATGGCAATGTGGACAGATGCCTGCAGCCCCATCACCACCTCCTCCACAGGAGCTCACTGTCACGGTGGCCTCTGTGGTGGGTTAGCAAGATCACCTGTCACTTCCATTGGGACCAGCACTCCGTCCTTCCTCACTGTAACTTGTGCCCAGAAAAACACGCAGACACAACACACGGTGAAGATTTTGTTTGTTGAAAAATCTCAATGCCTATGACATGAAGCCCTAGGGCTGCCTGGGCTCTGAGAGTCCGCCTGCTTTGAAGGGGCTGCAGATGGCATTCCCGGCTCTAGCAGCTTCCAGAGCAAGATGCAGTGTTGCTTTATATAGGAGTGTCGCCTCAGAGCCCAAGTTCCTGATGGTGTCACCCAGCACAGAGATCAGAATGCATTTCCTCACATGCAGGGGCCACTGCTCTAGCCACCTGTCCCTAACCTCCTGGGACTAGAGCCGAGAGAAGCAGGCCTGGTCTTCGGACTGCCCGCAGGGACCAGGATCACCATGTGTTCATTTACATGAGCCACGAGCCCCTCATCGTGATGTGGGTTGCACTCTGACAGCCAAGGCTTCCCCGAGTGTCGTGGTCCCGGCCTCGCTGTGAGCCTGTGATGTGTGGTAACTCACTGACCTGACTGCAGGGCTTTCTCATCTCTTACCTTGCAGGAATAAGCAAATCCAAAGCTTCTTCCCAGTTTGATCCAAACAAACAGACCCTGTCCGGCAAGGTAAGAACTGTCCCTGGAGGATTTGAGCACACCAGTAGCACCTATTTTTGACCTCTTCCCCTGCTGAGAAGACAGGCCCATCTAGGAATCCATTTCTTTGCATATCTTTTTCCTCACCTCATTTCTTCCCAAGTGCAGACAATACCCATCAACTACCCCAGCAACTCATAAAATGAGGTCGTAAAAGCTGCTGTGTGGTTTTAAAGGTATTATTTGTGTTTCCTACCATGGGAACTATAGCTGCAGGTCAAAAGCACCCCGTTTGGGGCCAGCACAAGCCTGCATTCGCCCCACGTGGGTGTTGGTGCCGCTGGCAGGCAACCAGCATGGCCGCAGATTCCACGCGTGGGAGGCAGGGCTGCTTGGGGCCCTCCTGTTCCTCTTGCTTGCACATCTGAGCAGCCTTGCCTTCAGAAACACAGAAATGTCCTCTTGCCAGGAATCAAAAGTCACAACTGTGGTGCTAGAATCTTCGGCCACCTGAGCTCAGGTGTGTTTTTCTGCATGTCTTGTGGTCATGGTGGCCACACAGCTTCAATGTTTCTTATCTTTTCAGAAATGTATTGCAGCCAAAAAAATTAAACAGTCATTGGGAAACAAAAGCATGTCCTTTCCAACTGGAAAATCAGACAGGTACGTGGTGGACAGCTGCTTGGCCCAGGGAGCCCAGTGAGAGAGCATGTGCCATGCGTGGTGCTGTTGGTGGGGAGCAGCTGCGGAGCCACTGCCCAGGGGCTTCAGCAGGAAGACTCAGAGAAACTCCCACAGCCAGGTCCCCCTCGACACTCATAAAACAAGGGCAGGAGGTGATTAGCTCTGTGCTACACGTCACATCGGCAGGCACTGCGCCCCAGGACGCAGATTCCCCTTGTGCCTGGCTCTCCAGTTACTGTTTCCTGGAGTCACTCAGTGAAAATAGGCATGAATAGTTGTGAAATTTTCCTGGACCAGCCTGTTAGGAATGACGAAAAAGGAAGCATGTGTGGGTTATCCTTGTTGTTGAAGAGCGGCTTGGTCTCTTTTGTGGCAGTCTCACTCTGTCTCCCAGGCTGGAGTGCAGTTTCTGCCTCCTGGGTTTAAGCAAGTCTCTCGCCTCAGCCTCCCAAGCAGCTGGGATTTCAGGTGCCTGCCACCATGCCGGGCTAATGTTTTTGTATTTTTAGTAGAGATGGGGTTTTGCCTTGTTGGCTGGGCTGGTCTCAAACTCCTGGCCTCAGTTGATCCTCCCGCCTCAGCCTCTCAGAGTACTGGGATTACAGGTACTAGCCACTGCACTTGGCCAAATGTTTTTGTTAAAAGCATAACATCCTAATAATTAGCCGGGCGCGGTGGCTCACGCCTGTAATCCCAGCACTTTGGGAGGCCGAGGCGGGTGGATCACGAGGTCAAGAGATCGAGACCATCCTGGTCAACATAGTGAAACCCCGTCTCTACTACTAAAAATACAAAAAATCAGCTGGGCATGATGGCGCATGCATGTAATCCCAGCTACTCAGGAGGCTGAGGCAGGAGAATTGCCTGAACCCAGGAGGCGGATGTTGCGGTGANTGCCTGAACCCCGGAGGCGGAGGTTGCGGTGAGCCGAGATCGTGCCATTGCACTCCAGCCTGGGTAAGAAGAGCAAAACTCCGTCTCAAAAAAAAAAAAAAAAAAAAAAAAAAAAGCATAACATCCTAATAATCAAGCCGACCCTGAGGTCAGGGGACTTGCCCAAGGGCAGGAAGGACAGGTCTGCATCCTTTAGATGCTGCTCAGCTCAGCCAACTCTGGTGGGCCACCAAGGTCCCTGGGACCCCTGAACAAACCATTCTCCCCCGTTCTGCATGATTAAGGTTTGCACCATCTTGTAAACTATCTGAGAACGTCCAACCAACCCGGAAGAAATAACTGTTGTTTTTGTACTGTCTCTGCAGAGGCTTCAGGTACAACTGGCCGCAGAGATAGTCCTGGAAGACACGCAGCGCCCACGGACCAGAAGCACCAGATGTTGGTGCTGCTTTTGTACAGACATATTTTTAAAC